TCCTTCTTTCCTTCTTTCCTTCTTTCCTTCTTTCCTTCTTTCCTTCTTTCCTTCTTTCCTTCTTTCCTTCCTTCCCCCTCCTCTTTCTTTCCCTCTTTCTCCATCTCTTTCTCTTTTCTTTCCTCCCTCCCAGTATTTTAAATGCTTTTATCACTAATTATTGCTAATGAATTATTTATACACAAATAACACAATAGGAACACAAATAACACAATAGGAGCAGCAAGTGGTGGGGAAGACATTAGGTAATTAAAAATATGTTAATATCATACTGAACAGAAACTCTGAAAAATCTGGGCTTATCAGGACTGAGAAAATGTTATCCCAATCTCTTTCGCTTGGCTCCTCCTGCAATGTAACATGAGTAAGCAAACTGGGAACCTCTAAACTGATTTGTTGAGCATGATATCTTGAATACCTGGCTTATTCCTTTCCCAAAGAGTTAGGACTATAAGAAGAGAACAAACTGTGATTTAGGATCAAGAGGAGTTAGGAGAGGGAGAAGGCAGAGATCCCAAATCAGACATAATGCTGAACAATGAACAGGAAAAAAAATCCCCAAAACTGGCTTATTAGCCCCTTTCCCTGAGAAGAGGAACTAAGATGATCAGGCTGAAGCTAGGTTCACGTATTGCATTAAAAGATTGCATGGTTTGTTGACTTCTGGTTTAGAAGATGTGTAAATCCACCCATGATGGATTTACATTATATGCAAATCAGACTATTATTTCTTGTCACCAAACTGTGGCTTAAAGCATCCTCTTTTAGCATTATGTTTGCATAAGCATGCTTGTTTATTCCTGATCATTCAGAATTCTTGGCAGACCTGGTTTGCCGGGATGTGCACAGCTGGCTAGCTATTTGTCCTGTTTATGGCTAAGAAGATGAAACGCTTCTGATTTTGCAGTGACATCCCAGCCTGTAACAGCCATTATGTAGGACAGACAGGTAGAAGATTGGCAGGAGGCACCTAAGAACATCAACGGGCAGTCAGAAGGCCTGATGAAAATTCCTTAGTCTCTCAGCCCATAGACAATGTCAACCACAAGTTCTACTGGGACACTGTCAATACTTTAGATCAAGCCAAATCAAAAAAGGCTAGGGAATTCCAGGACGTTTGGCCTTCTGATACATCAGCCATCCACAGACTCATAGAGATAAGCCCCAACTAAATACCATTTAAAGGATATAACCAAAAGTCAAAGAAGGAACCCACAGCACATTGTCCTACCATAGCATACAATGTGGCAAAATTCTGGGTGGTAGCAGGTAAAATCAGGAAGATGCTGGTGTCTACCACAGGTTAGCAAAACAGTTTCTCTCTTAAGTTTCTGCTTCTTCATTTGCTTATGCGTTTGCTTCCTTCCACCTTTGGCAACTGCTTTTATACCTACTTGTTTTAGGTGTTTATATGTATATTTGCTTGTCTTACATACCACTTTTTATTTATTTATTTATCTATATGGGGTTTTTGTGAACATACAAACGTTAGCCATATTTTAATCTTATTCTCACTTAGGTCCAGATTCCCCATGAAAGTTCTTGTGAACCTATATCATCCCTTCCATTTCATATTATAGTTTTATATTTCTATACCCTTTTTATATTGCATTGTTGATGCTGGTTTTTGGCCAAAATAAAGTTTGCTTAGTTTACCCTGAAGTTTCTTTGGATAAACAATCAGGAAAGAAACAATACCCTATCAAGGAATTCTCAACCAATGTAATGACCGGTGGGAATGACCTTGGGAGACAGGAGGAAGAGCCACAGACTAGACATGCAAAAAGTATCTCAGTCCACAGAAGGAAAAGGGGCGTAGGAAGCATCTCAGAAGGGACCCTCCCTAGTTTTCTGGAGAATAAAAGGAGAGGAGGGGAGAAATACTTTCAGACTTGCAAGATTCTGTCACTGTAACCTTACAATAAAGGGAGTGTTAGTACTCTTGGTTGGTGCTTCTTTTGTGGACTACCTTGAAGAGCTGGCAACCAACCAACCAACCAGCCAAGACTGGCAAGGCAAGTGCCTTTGCATAAACAGTCAGAAAACTCTACCAGCCGGCAACTTCACTTCCCACTTCACTGATGATGTTACCTAGCCTGGTAATGAAACGTCTGCAAGAAAACAACAATACTCAGAGAACTCCAGGAAACCGACTCCCATGCTCTGAAATCCCCTCCCTATGGAGATGCATTACCCTCCATCTCTTCTGGGTTTCAGGAGGACAGACAGTTAAGCAAGTGCAGGAGAAGGGCATGCTGTCATTGAAGATTTGATTTGAGCAGACACATGTGTTTGTACATTTTTCCATTTTGTATAATTTTTGTACACTGTGTGGAGTTATTTATTGTTGGGAGAGAGCTAATTTGATGCAGTAGTTAAGGCTGGAAGACAGGAGATGGTGAGTTCTGGTCCTGCCTTAGGCATGAAGCCAGCTGGGGGACTTTGGGCCAGTCCTTCTCTCTTAGCCTAGGAAGAAGGCCAGGGCAAACCACTTCTGAAAATCTTGCCAAGAAAATGGCAGGGATTAGTCCAGGCAGTCACCAGGAGTTAAGATGCGCCTTGGAGTCAAGGGCGCACACACATGTACACACACACACACATTATTGAGGTGTATGTGTCTTTTGCTTGGTGATTTTTTTAAAAAAATGTTAGCTGTCCAGAGTTTCCAGGAATGGACAGCATACAAAAACCCTTAAGCAAGTAAATAATTATATCAAACTTTAACTTCTCTAATTTATGAAATACTTTCCTTCTTTTAGTAGGAAATGATATGGGATTTGTTTTATGATATGATATGGGATTTGTTTTATCAATGGTTGGATGAAAAGATATAGTAATGTAATAGATC